TGCTGGAATGCCCCTTCCAGTGCTGCTTAGAACCAGTCCAGAAGGCATAAAATATGCTAAGCAGCTGTTAAAGGGGAAAAAATAACATGTGGCAGAGGATATGCATAAAAATATATAGAAGACACTTCTGATGGGAATGTGAAATGTGCCATTTTTCTGTCTGTGGTGCTGCCGAGCACTGTAGCTGTGCTGGTGGCAGGGCTGCAATAGGGTTGTTTTTCTATTAAGGGCAAACAAAATGAGGGTAAAATTTTAAGTTGGGGAATTTTCTGCTGCTGGAAGGCAAATTACTACACGCACTACTACAAAAGAGCAGGGGTAAACAATACAATATGCTGGGAATTGCAGATGCGTGTGCAGGAACGCCGTGAATACATTAACTGCCCGTGTTGTCAAGGCAAGTGACAGCAGCTGACTGAAATCCAGAAAGGGGCTCCTGTCAGCACAGCCCTCGCCAGGGCAAAGGCACATCGCTCCTAATAACAAAGTCTATTCCGTTTACATCTGACACGGGGAGCCAGAGCCTCTTGTTTGGGGAGTTTTATTTATTTTGACCCAGGGAAGTCCGCTGAGCTGCTCCGTCAGGCTCCAGCCTCCTGCCACGGCACTTAGACAAACTCATCCACGCTGCTTCGTCAGGAGGACTGAGTTTTCTGCACCCCTCTTTCAGTACATTTTTTCCCTGTTGCTGGACTTTACTGTAGGAAGGACAAAAAGAAAAGCACAGGAGTAAATAAAGAAAGCACTTCTTGGATGCTCCAACCATTTGTGAAGTTATTCCATGAGGGGCAGCGAACCATGGAAGTCTGTAGTATTTTTTTGCCTACAATCTGCACCAATATGTGCAGAAAAGGGACTGCACAGCCCCAAGTTTCTCTTTCCTTCTGCTTTCCTTCTTTCCTTCTCTTTTCCCCAGGAAAACCCTTCAAAGGCCAAACCAGTAGATTTAGTCCATGTCCCAGTTTGATTAAGGTAGGTCTGTAGGTGACTTACCCTGGGCTGAGCATATCCAAGGCAGGAAGGTAAACATCCCATTGTGCTGGATTTGATGAAAGAAAATCCTGGAAAACGTTGTGCTTTTCTAAGAAAACTGCCAGAGGCAGATTATTAGGTCTGAATTAAAATGCAGACGAGATTCATTAAATTGTTGACCCTGCCCCCTCCAAAAAAAAAGTCAGGTTGCCATCTTAAATTGACAGCATTAGAGACAAATTATGTGCACTGATTAATAAGTGTGGGCTAAATTATGGCTTGGAGAGCGGGCGGAGCGCTGTGGGAGCAGGAGCGAGGGAAGGAGCGGAGGAGGCGACAGCCATCCTGCCTGTGGGCACAGAGCAGTGCCAAGGGGTGGGGGGCCCTGTGGCACCTGAGGTGCAGAGGGGGACAAAGGAGCAGGAGGAAGGAGCTGAGCCTCCTCCAAGGGACCTGTTCCCTCTGTGATGGTGACCTGGCGCCCTGGTGCCAACGTGCTCCCTGGGACATCAGCATTGGGGATGTGTGCTGAGCTCAGGGGCTGTGCTGCCCCTTTTCTCTGGGGTAGGGGGAACTTTTCATTAAAAAAACAAGGGAAAAAACCCACCGAAATCTTGGAAGAGTTGGATTTAAGAAGTTAAATAAGAAAGGTAGGGTAAACTAGAGACTTGAGAAGCTAATTTCCATTGGTGGAAAAAAATACTGACCATTTCACCATCTTGGACAATAAAAAAAGGGAAAAAGCAGGCATAATAATATGTATATTGCTCACAAGACATAATTCTCTGAGAATACTATGACCGGTATATAAATAGCAGAATGAATGTTATTAACATGTTAATTTTACTAACCCTTTAACCTATTGATTAGCCAAACAGAAGGAAACAGCATCTTTTCATGCTTCGTCCCCCCTTTGCCTTTCATGTAATTGGATTCAAATTCACATCTGTAGCTACTAAACCAATGTTTTCAACCTTTCTTCTGCACCTCCCCACCCCCAACTGTTTAACCTCCCTTCTCCAGAGCTGGCATAAATGTAAGCCTTTATTTGTGAATATTCCGATAAGCACTTTGCCTCCAACTATATTGTTCAAGTACCAGCATCATTGTTACAGCTGTAATTGTTACTATCAAGACACAGTTCTTTGTAATTAGAAAGTCAAGATGGTATTCAGCAGTATGGCAGCACAGATTCTCATTTGTTAGGCTATTAGAAAAAAAATGTTTACAGAGAAAACAGTGTCATTGTTTAGTGCTCTTAATTGACCATCTGCCTGGTAAAGAAATGTCCAAAGAAGGATAAATAAGACTATAGTGCACTTATTTATTTATTTTCTTTGTGCAATGAGTAAATTAGGAAAAGCAACAGCAGATCCAAACTAGACAAGACATTGCTAAATCAGGCTGCAAGTGAAATCATGTCATGAATACATTAACTTTTATTTCTCTCAGTGTCAAGACTCATGTCTGCATCTTCCTCAAAGTTTGTTGGGAAGAAAAAGGAGGCCAGATCTTGGTGGGCACTGTGGAGTTGACAGCATTCATCTTTTAACAAAGTCAAGCATATGCTGCTTTGAGTGCAGCATCTTTGCATGCTCAATGACGTGTTTAATGTCACCTTTCCCACTGTAAATCATCCCTGAGTAAATCCACAAGGGAGAGTGGTACTAGGAATTAAGCAGGAGAGAAATAAAATTCATGACCATGTGGTTCTATCTCAGGGAATTTGGTACGTATTGACAAGAGAGATTCACACCTGACGGGGCCGAGAGCTAATTTGTAGTAGGGCTGTTTATCTTCTGCCTGAAAGGAATACTTTTTCATATTTAATGTGCATTTTCCTCATCTCCATGTGTGTATGTGTTTGTGATTTAACGTGGCTAAGGGTGCATCTGGTGCTAAGGGTGCATTTTTGCATTTTTGCTGCTTGGCAAAAATGTAGTTTCAAATTTCGGGATAATTCAAAATTCTGTGTTTTCCCTACGAAAAAGTAAAGGAGGGGCAGTTTGGCCTTCCAAAACCAGGCTTGATGTTTTCATTGCACAAGGCACTGTCTTAGGTAGGCAGTATTTGATCTGTTCTTGCAGCATTTGTTTACAGTTTTGAAATGAGAAATGAAAAAAAACCCATGAGTATTACCATGCTAAACCAATATGGTAAATGACCAAACTGATCTTTTGTACTATTTGTCTTCCAACATTCCAGGTGGAAATAATCCACTACATTTATATGTTGATTTATTACAGTGTGGAGGAAAAAAAAACCTAAAAACAAACCATAGAGAGAAGCAATAGGAAAAAAAAAGCAGGAAAAGAGAAATTAATTAAAAAAGTAAGGATTACATTTAATAATGATTTCTCAAAATATTACCTTCCAGGTTTGAAAGGCACCAGGACACCTGCAAGAGGAGCCCCAGTTGTGCCTCCTCCATGATGAGGCTCATACAGAGGTGCAGCCCCTCAGATGGTGACAGGGGGACAGCAACCAGTGCCCTCACAGCACTGTCACTGTGTGTGACAGTGGTCATGAAGCAGGTATGTAAAACTTCCCAATACTTAAAAAACTGACAGTGTTTTAGCCATCAGTTCTTCCACGGGAATTTTCTTTCCATAAAACCTCTCCTTTGATGTCTTCACCCGATGCCTCAGTGCATCATCCCTTGTCCATCTGTTCCCTACTGAAACCTTCCTTTTTTCATTTCCCCTGATTGCTGTGCTAAATAGTGATCCTAGTAATTTTTGTTTCTTTTTCTTCCCTGATATTTACTCTTTTTTTTTTTTTTTTGAGTTTTGAGGGAGTACCTCAAAATCTTGGTCTCCTGCCTGATGGCTTTTGAGGAGGGGTGGTAGCTAAAGGAACCTAGCTCATTTTTCTTAAAAAAAACCCCAAACAATAGGTTTGCCTCTAAATTTAGAATTTTCTTGTTCTCCCATTTCTGGAGATCTTTCATTAGTGCCAACTGCATTTTTTCAGAAAGCAACAACCCACATTTTTTTTTTTTTTGACTTCCAGTAGGGAATATAATGAATATAATAACTTCCACCAACAGGTGCAGGAAGGTGAGAAGTGCACGGGGCTTTCAGGGTACTGTGCCTTTTCCCTGTCCTAAAGCCACACAAATTTGTGAGGTTCAAGGCCTTTCTTTGATATCTTCTGAACTGGAACCTGCAGAATTAGACATCCCACCCTACCAAGCTGGAAAAGCCTGCTCAGACATCCTCCTGCTCGAGCATGCTGGTGTCCCCATCCACACTGCCCATTTCCTCAGTGCTGTACTGCTTTGACAAGTGTTTAACAATGACTTCTTGCAGGTGCCTTTACAAACTGCACCTGTACCTGTTTCCCCAGCACTGGGGCTGTGTGCTGGCACCTCACCTGTACGTGGAGCCCGCGTTTCACCTGCGTGTGCTTCTGTGCACCGAGCAGAAGAGGCGGCTCAGAGAGCTGTGATTGACACCAGTAGTTGGAAGCTCATGCATGTCTAGCTACTTGTTCAATTTGTTTAGTCCAGTGGTCTCCTTTATTAGGAGCCTTAGGGTTTTTCTTTTGATTTGGCAGGGTGATTATAATGAGAGCTCCTTAGTGCTACTCCACCAGGGTATCTGCCCACTTGCTCTCAAGCCTCTGCTGTATAGCTTGTGATTAATGTAAAACAGTCAGATGCCCTTCAGATCAGTCGAATTTGGGGATTCTATTACAAACATGAAAAGCGTGCTGACCGCACAAAGCCCTTGGTGGTACCAATTAAAGACAGCGTCATTCACTTGGCACTTCTCATGCCGCTGCTTTTTTTTGCTTGTTTTTTTCCTTATCCTTTTCACAGCAAACCTTCCCTGGCAGTGGTGGCCCCTCTGCCACCACGCACCTGTGCCACGCTCCGGCCCCAAGGCACGGCTTCCTCGGCTAGTGGGGAGACACCTTGCTTCCCCCTCTCTCTGCCCAATTTCTGTGCCCCTCAGCTAGTCCTCCATCTGGCCAGACGTGAGCGATGGGATTTGAGTACAATATCTCCTCATGTCATCATGCAGGGATGGGAAGTGCTGCCTGGACTGCCCCCAGCAGAAAGCCCCGTGGTGTCCCTTCCCCGCTGGTGCAGAGGCTCCGGGCTGCCACCACAGATCATTTGACAAATTTCACGGTAAGACCCCAGCTTATCAGCATTATCTTTTTATTCCAGTCAGTATTCCAAGTATTCCTTGAATGTCACAAGTGAAGAGCTGGATTATACACAAAGTGTCCAGTGTTAAATCCTATTTACATGCAAAAGTTGTGCCAGCTTACCCTGAGGTTAAATCAGTGCAAACCCCTTCTGTGAGGACTCTTCTAAACTAATGAGAATGACCTCCTATAATTTCTTTAATTAAAGAACAACAACCACCTAAATCAAGATAAAACATGCTTCATATTAAATAAGGTTGGCCAAGCAAATGGGTTTGCCTTGCTTGAAGTGCTGACTCCACTTTTTGCACAGACTGAATTATCCAAGTGCTTTGGACAGAGCAAATCTCAGCTCTGGTTTCTGGCTTTCTGCAGCAGGGAGGGAGGGGGTGTCACACCTGCCCCCACCAAAGGCAACAGAGGATTTGCCCCTGCCTGTGAGGTGGCCAAGGTCTCTGTCCAACACACACGTTTTGTGTTAAATCCCTTGCACCACATTTGATATTCCACAAATCTTTCCCAAGTGTCTGGTTGAAAATGTTATTTTTTCATTAAAGTTACTCCCCCGTCCAGGGCTCCATGTTTGTCAGGAAGGAATAAAACTGTACCATATAAAAACAGAAAGAAAAATCCTTTATTTCTGAAATTTTATCTTTCAGAGTCAGGTTTGTTTGGTTTTGTTTTGGTTTTTTTTTTGCATAAGGCTCTTCATAAATCTAAGGTCTTGTAACTTTGATCTATTCACCCTCTGCCTACAACATAGACTCCAATTGCACCTCTTACTTAATGGATTATTAGGAATTGAGGAATCCTCATGTAAAAAGAACCCAAACAATACTGGTTTCTTATTTCTCTGATCATTTCTTAAAAAAAAAAAGACTCTTAAAAGCTATTAAGATGACATTTTCAGTTGTGAAGGCAATAGCTTTTGCTGTTTTCACTATTTCACTCCTTCCTTTCACTGCTGATTCAGGGAACTGCTGAGCACAGAATTGGTGTTGTTTCCATTCCAACAGCAACAATCTCATCTCAGATCTTGTGAGCGTTGTTTATCTCAAGGTATCCCTTCTAATCCAGCCGTTTTCTAACTCTGTCCCAAGAGCTGGTTATTCAATGACTTTTCACAGACCTAAACCCTTCACTTGCTCAAATCACCTGCTCACATAGGGATTGTGCTGCTCTTCCCATCAGTGCTCTGACCCTCCTGGAAGGGGCAAAGCCAACCAGAACAGTTGCCCTGTGAGGCTTTGGGACATCAGTGGTGTTCACCGTGTCCATATCTTGCTGCAACTGGAACCTTATGAACAAAATCACCACAATTAACTCCAGCAGAAAATGTGCTGGAACCACTGGAATGTGATTTCTTTGCAATCAATATTATGGAGCTCCCACCGATCTTTTAATAATGTTTTATTCGTGGATGAAAAGATGCTGGTGTCCCAATGCATTCTATCCATCCATTCATGTTAAGACCTGTAAATGAACCCCAAAATAATGGTACTGTTTGGTTGCCTGCTACGTGTACACACTGGGTTTACTTGTATGTAAATTAAACTGCATTTAATCCTGTTAAGCATTAAAACGTAAGCAAACAAACTGACTAACAAAATACAGTGGGGTGGCAGAAAAAGAAAATAAGCTCAGAAAATAATTGGTTCTAAGGAAGTTAATGAAAGTTTGTAGCATGCTTTTTATATGAATAGAGTTCAGAAGAGATTATTTTTTTGAAGTGTTACTCACAAATCTCCCGTATCCACAATAGATCTTTTGTTAACTGTACCTGCACATTTATTGTGTACGACAGTCTAATAAAATGAAGTCGTTTTAATAAACATTGTATCAGAATATCCTATCTGCTGTGTGGCACTGCGAATTTCCACTACTGAAGGAAACATTTAACATTCTCACCATTTTAATACTTTTAATAAATATTTGCAATTCCTCTGATAATGCATAATGGCAGAAAAATGCATTGCCTCCAAAATTTATGTGGCTGCTGGCAGGTGGCCATTTTCCAATTTTCTGTCTCGCTAATATACATTTATTATGTATTTCCGAGGGCTTTTTTTCCCAGCTTTTGGCTTGCCATAAAATTACTATTTCTTTTACAAGAGGAAGCGCTCGTGACAAAGAAATTTCAATCGAACCTAAACCTGACAAATGGACATCTGCTGGCCAAACTGGAGAAGAAAAACATTTGCCCATCGTAGCTCTCAGTTTGATCCCTTCCCATCAGCTGAAGCCACAATATGTTTGGATCAGAGACTCATATTCTGAACTGATAACAAGAATCAGTTCTCACTTAGTAATATTTTCTGAAGTGTGACACTGCATTGCATCATGTTATGCATGACATGACACGAAATAACAGAACATTACATGATGGGTTATGACATAGGGAAGTAAGATGCAAGTTAATATTATGCATTACATTTTATTTTTTTTTCTAAATTGTTGGATCAGAGCGCATGATGAGCTGTGAGTGGTCTCTTCTATGCTGGCTTTATACAACAGCCATCGATAGAGTACCTGAGCACCACCAGCAGATAATTAAGCCTCTATTGATAGCTGAAATCCTTGAATCTCTCAATGAGCACATATCGTTCTCTGTATTTAAGTAGCAGCATTCATTTGAAGAGCAAGGGAGCAGTGACTAAGTATGAAGCCTAAACAGGCAGTAAGAAGTGGTAACACTACAAAGATGATACATTCTTATCCTCGAAATGGAAGGAAGCTGATTTTGTGAAACTCTTTATGGCATTCACAACAAAGCAGAGGATATCCTGTGTCACAGAGCATGTGCTTCTTGAAGATCCTTTCTGGTAGCAAATGATGCTCAGAGAGTGTGATTTGTTATCAGGGAGCTATTTACGATGGCCAAGATAGAAGGGCACTGAATAAATATCTATAGCTCTCAGAAACTGAGACATGATGGTGCAATAGATGGAAAGAAATATCTCAAATAAGCAGAGGAACAGAACCTCCCTACCAAAGGTGACTGCAAATGCAATAGCTTTTTCTCTTGTTTTATTTTTTCAAAGCTGTGAAGCAACAGGATAATCCACATTAATAATATACTGTATGTTATGTTTTACAATAATATGCTTTGATTAAACTAATTCCTGGAATGATAAATGCAAAGGAGACAGACTGTCCTGTGTCTGTGCTCACAACAACAGGAGAGGTAGATTTGCCTCATCAGATATTGTTAAATATTCTCAAAAAAAAAAGAACTTCTTGGCCATAAAGAAGGAAGTAGCAAAAATATGGTTCACTTTACACCTTCCACACACTTCATAAAATCAGGGAGCATCAGTGCATTGTCAGCACCTCAAAGAAGGCACTGATGAGAGGGTCTTTGACCTAAAAAGGGACAAGACCACAGTTAACTGAGCAACTGAACTGGCTAATGTGCAAAAGATTTAATCTCTAATTTGCTGGGGAATTATGGGCACATTGCTTCATTATCTGCATTTTTGGTTTTCCCTTTACTTGGCCTATCTTGGCCCCAGCTCAGGAAAGAATCACTATTTGCAAAAGGTGCTTACTGGACCTAGTGGGAATGTTTCAGTGTTTTCCTGAACCAGTCCTGGAGATCCTGCAGAACTGGATATGGAGAAGGCAAAGGCACATTTTTCACTGATGATCATGCCAGGACTAAAATTGTAGTTTGGAAGTGATCAGGTAGAAATTTTTTTTTGAAAATTAACATGTCTAATTCTTTTTCAAGAAAAGCACCCATTTATCTATTTTGAAACTAATTCAACTGAATTGGGTGCAAATTTGCAAATTCTCACCAGAATTTCTCAGAAATTATGGCAACCTTCAATATCTGCCAAAAAATATAATAAATTTTATTAAATAGTATTATATAATTATTTAAGATATAAATTTATACATTTATTTTATAGATAGTAAACAATTGATAAAATATATTAATGAATATTCTATACATATACCTATCAATAGATTGTGAACTATTAATTATTAATTAATTGCTAATTAATAATCAACAATATTAATTACTGTTAATTAATTGTTAATTGATAATCAATAATTTTTTAGCTATTAATAAATATTATGACTATTTTATGCAAATGTGTAGTAATACTTTTAACCAATTATTTACTATCTATAAAATAAAATTATGGACAAATATTTGTACAGATAATTTATTATAGGGTGATCTCTTATAGGGATCATACATTACAGAATATTACATGATACAATCTCCTCTCTGTTTATTACATAAAACAAATAGAAATATATAATTAGTATTAGGGATTCAAGAGAAAAAAAGCCATGATTTTTCTTGGCAAAGGATAATATTCAAATATTGGGGTCAACAGATGAAGGCTCCTTTTAACCCTCCTCCTGCCACTTAGACTCCTGCAAAGTGTAGACTTTCTACATACTATTTCTTTTTTTTTTTTTTTTGTCTAATTGATTTCTTCCTGAATTTACAGCTATGCTACCTCTTTAGAACTGCTTTGCAGACTTGCTCCCATGTAATATTTGGTTGTGATTAATCCATCTCACACTAGAGAACTGCCCGTGCTTTGTTTGCATTTGTTTTATTAAGTGGGAGGACACGTCATTAAGTTTTTGTGTGGCTCATGTTCAATGTGGGTTGATAAGAACCAGATATTTGAAGAAATGGAGATTAAAGATTTCCTGTCCCCTCATGGCCAGCTTTCTCTTAGATGAAATGAAGGATACAAGAGAGTGATACAATCATTTCTCTACCAGTATCTACTGTATCAGTGGGCTGAATCTTAGCATTTTTGATAATGATTGTCTTCCAAGAAGAATTCATGCATAAGTATTTCTTACTCTTGCTGCTGATTTCATCCATGTCAGTGAGTTTGGTTTGCCTGCAAAGGATTTCTCAGAAGTAACTTTTCCTTGCAAAGGGTGGCCATTAAAAAAAGGAAAGAAACCAAATGCAACAAAAACAAGCAAAGAAAACCACCTGACAACAGGGTGGCACTTCTCCATGAATCTTCTTAAGCTCATACATTTTATAAGTATTTAATGTGATACCTTGTAGGAACAGACAGCAGCAGGTGACTGCAATAACTTTAAAGAACAGCTTTTTCCTGTCACTTCTCTTACAGTGTGGCCCAACATGTTCCTAACAGATACCGCTTGCACAGCATCCCCATTTCTCTTAGGAAAATCAGTATAGATTGGTAATAAAGCATGGCAACATACAATTAAAAATTAATAGCAAAATGATTACATTATTCTCTTCTAGCAGCAAAAAAACCCCCTCCAACCTACAACAAAGGCCTTTAAAGCACTTTGGCTGTTTTCCAAAAGAGTTGATTAATACTCCATGCAGAATGACTGCTGTGATGCTATTGCCAGGCAGGAATTGCTGACTGTCCGTCGAGGAACCGGGCAGGTGGCAGGGAAGGAAGGCTCTGCTCCACATCCCGGTGCCCTCGGCACAGGAAAAGCTGTTCAAATGGCAGCAGCATGGCAAGGCAGTCCTTTAGATGATTGGAATAATCTGTGACATTCAAAACCGAGACACAGCGCGTCGGGAAGCCTAGAGAGAGTGGAGTTGCTTTCCTCAAGCCCAAAACAAAGGCTTTGCAATGTTACATATATTATTCTGATCACAAAAGTCTCTTGCATTAGGGCTTTCAGTGTGAGATAATTGACCTTGACATTGCTTTCAGCTGAGGGCACATAACTCTTAGTGCAGTGACTTACCTTGAAGAAAACTGTGCAACTGCAAAGAATATTTACTTACTATCTTCTCTTTTTTTTTTCTTTTAATTCTTGAAAACTGTGCTCTGCAAGGACAAGTAGGCAGAAGTGTAGTGAGGGATGGAAGGTATTTTATGTGGATGAACACATGAAGAGGTGATTATGTATTGCTAAAAGTCTAATCCCTGGATAAACTACAGTTTGCTATTAATTCTTTGGACTTGCTTAGCTGCTACTTAACATTTCCACGACTTAACAATTATATTCTTGAGCTAAGAGTAACTTTTCAACAAAATGTGTAGGGATTAGAAACATTGATAATTATATTAATTAATATTAATGGGAGTGACAATATTTGTAGTCATATGACAAACATAAGGAAAGCAGGGCTTTAATTTTATCAATTAATTCTGTTTCTAATTGCTTTCACTATTCAATTGTCAGAACGTGTTCTACTTGCAAGAAGGAATGTGTTAAGCAGGCAAAACACAGACCAAAATTGAGGGGAAAGAGGGCTGTGTATTTGTATATGGTATCATCTGTTATCCAGAAACATACCGAGCCTTCTCTCTGGGCTTTGGATTTTCTCCCCTCCATTTATAATAAATGCCAATCATCTGGAGTAATGGGCTCAGTCTCACTGAGATGGGTTAGTAGGCAGAGAGGCCATGAGGAGCAGGAAATGCCACTGATTGAAGAGCTCTCCAAATTATCAGCTATCCTTCTTCCCACACCTTCCCAGAGGTGCGGGATGAGCACAGGACAGCAAGACAAGCAGACCTTGGAAAAGAGAGCCCAGTGCATATGTCTATACTGACTCCTCAGATTTAATACACTGGATTCCATCAAAGTCGTCTCTAGAGGAAGTCAGAGAGCTGCAGTCCATTGGCCTTAATCCTTCCCTGTGCTCCCGTATCTTTATACTGCTCCACCAGCTCCACACCGCCGTAAAACCAACACAATCCACCCTCCACGCTCCCTGGTGTGAGGGAAATCCCTCACCAGGTCCCTTGCTGAGCACTGCAGCTGCCACAGAGGCTTCCTGGCAGCGGGAGGAAGGCAAACCCCTCCCTGCAGATGTGTCCAGTGTGGTGGGATGATGCTCTTGCTTGGTGTCCCGACAGGCTGGGGACGTGCAAACCCCACTAAGGGTAGAGGTGTGAAAGTCTTCACGTCCTGAAACCAAGATTTCAGCCCAGAAGGAAATCTTAATGTGCTCAAGTTTCCCTCTGCACAAAGCCTCCACCACACAGCAATCCAAGAGGCCAATAAAACAAATAATGACTATCTCCTGGGGCAGCTGCAATAAAAAAATGCTGCCAGCTAAGAATGGTGCCTTTGATGGCTCTGCAGGCGAGATATCAACAATCTCTCCAGCTGCTAATCCCCTCGCGTGGTTTTACACTCGCTGCCCTTACAGCCCGTGCCCAGATGCTCTGTGCAATGTTTTGGGGTCTGCTCTTCTTCTCAGCTCATCCCTCCTCTGGTCCTCCTCAGGATTACACCCCTGTAAGGCAGTGAGTTTCTCACCAAGCACTGCATGTACAGGAGAAGGAAGCTGTCACCCAGCACATGCTGCTCTAGTGGCCTGTGGCTGCTGCCAGCTAACCTGGGAGCAGTTGCTGCCTGCTTTCCTTAGCTCTGTGGATGTTGAGCTCTGGAGTGGGAGAGAAAGTGGTCTGGGGAGTCCTCACCAAAGTACCAATGAATAAAGGGGGACTCACTGATGAGGATGAGGGAATACCCCAAAATCTCTTGCTTTTTGTGGGCTGGAGACTTTGCCCATCCCATTCCCCCTCCTTGAGTTAAGCCAATGCTGATCCCAAGCATATTTGCATCTATGCTTATTTTCAGGATAAAATCAGGGAGCACAATTCCATCTTGTTGTGCCAGCCACATCATTGTCAAAAGGCATTCAGGAGATTCAGATCTTTTGTGCTGCTATAAAGGTTGCTTCTTCCCCATGTCCTCATCAGGGGACAGAGTTCAGAATTAGTCCTTTTGTGTTTATTTCCACTACTCCGGGATGGACCTGGAAGCCTTTGCTTTTCCCCATCAGGAAGCAGAGATTTAATGTATCGAACACACCAGAATTGCTTAATGAGTGCTCAGTGAATATTAATAAAAGTTTGGACGTGACTCAGGCTACAATGGCTGAGAAGTTTGAAAGCTTTGGTTCAAGATTACAGGAGGCTGTGAGAAAATATGGTATCCAGCAGCTAGCATATAGTGCGGATATTTCACTATCCAGGGATCTCTAATTACTAATAATGTACAGGAACAGTATGATATGTCCTTACAATTGCAGAATCCTTTTCAAAGATAATCTTTAATAGTTTATTTGACAACCTGTAAAATTATAGAAAATTATTAGTCTTGGGAATTACAAAAATCCCCGTAGTACAGTCAAACAATAAAATTATAATTACCTGTGGGTAATTGAAATTTAACTGTTTTTTTATTGTATATTACACATCAATAGCAACATAAGTTCAAGAGTGTCCCCCTCCCCTCCCTTTTCTTTTCCCTACAGAAATGGGGAAAATGGACAACCCTGCTGGTAGCTTGTGAGCCCTTGTCACAGAACAGAGCTTGAACAATTTCGATTAAAGCAGTATGTTCGAGACTGTCATTAGACCTGCATTAAATTACATATCTGGAATGTTAAAAATAAAGAGTACTGAAGCTTATTCACAGCTGCCTGTCGTAAAGTATGCAGTCAAGGTTTTTATTATCTTTGAAGTTCTTATTTTTCTCTTTTCTAAAACTTATTGTTTCATCAAACAAATATCTAGCACATTTAAGAACAGTATGAGCACAAGAGCAGAATTGCTCGAGATGGATAAAGCATTAGCGTGTTTCCATTCTGTGCTCAGTAGTATTGTTTAGTACTAACAATGGTAATTTATCAATTATACACGAGGGAACAAAGCCCTTCACCATCTCACAGCTCCAGAACTACCTATTACAAGGCCCAAAGCTTGAGACCCCTCCCAGACCTTGTGAGGCACCATTTAGAGTTAGAATTTGCAGTACCAGGTTTTGCCTTGTCCTCTCTCAGTGACCCCACGGAGGCTGCTCAGTACTCAGCTCCATGGCACATCAAGATTTTCCTAAACCAGGAAAATTATAACCTTTTTTTTTCTATTTTCCTTCTGAACCAGGGCTTTTGATACAGGCACAAAGGTTCACAGCCTGCTCGTCTAGTTGGTGAGACCGTCCAGTCCCTCTTGTGTCATTTGTGGTGGCATTGCAGACTTTGAGAACAATCTGAAGGACAAACCCCAAGCTGTTTGGATGCTGCTCAGCCCCAAATACGGTATGTTTGACAATTAATTGTCTATGGAGCAGCTTTGTTCTACACTGCTGAGATGCACAAAATCTTCTGCAGAAGGATCAGACTGGCTACTTTTATTTGATTCTGTAAAGTGCTTTGTGATCATTATGTGACTATAACTGCACAAGTGAAAATACCTCTGTTTTATTAAGAGTTTCAATTAAAGTGTTTAATACACAGATTTTATCGTGAGAGAGGCATCACAAAGACTGAGTACAACATAATGGCAAGCCAGGTATTGTTATGATTATCATTACTATTATTTATGTATAATCATTGAAGTATTAACTGAAAACTGGGAAATGGAGTTCCTGAGCCCCAAAGAGCTCATAGTAACAGCTTCTTGTGGAGAAGACAACAATAGCAAACCAACTCTGCTTCATGGCACAATTAATGGTGCATGCAGCCCAGGCTGGAAATTCCTGATCCTGCATGAGTTTTCCTGTTTTCAAAGATCAGAGAAGGTAAAAAAATGCAGTTGGATCCCACCTTTTTTATTTTGGTGCCTCTTACTCTTCCCAGCACCTCTTTTTTCTGCCTGTTGGTGAAGGGCATCCCTGCACGTCAGGACTGTGATGTGTCTGTTTACCCAGCGAAGCAGCTGGAAACTTCTCATCAAAGTGGGTTTATTTGGATGCCTTTACAAGGGAGAGATATTTTGCCTCCCTCACTTGTCCTTCCCATTGGCCTCCTAAAAGCTAAAGTGGAGCTTTCGATTTAGATTTAAACCGAGTATAAATCTTTCAAAAGGGGAAACCCCAAGAGGGACTGTATCCTCAGGGCTGTTAATGGGCTGAGCTGCAGCAGAGGAGAGACAGGGCTGGCCCAAAATCATGGTCCTTGTGCCAAATAGCTGTGACCTCATGCAACACACCAAGGAGATGCAGCTGAGAGGTTGGTTTGGCTTTGGCTGTTTCCTAATCTTGACCCCTTGAGCAACACCTGAAATCTAGGGGAAAGTTCTTCTCCATCCTTACCTCGACCCTCATTTCCTGGCAGATTCCAGCTGCTGAGCTCAACCGCCCTAAAAAAAGAAGCCGGAGAGCTGTTGTCCAGTAGGATTTATATAGATGGGATGCTTGGAAGCTAAATCTTCCAACCACTACAGTGCACCATACTGTAAGACAAAGAGCAGGAGATAAATTTTCCTGCCTTTGAAATTTCTGCTCATGTCACTCTCTGGGGCTAATTTTTACCATTTTGTCTCCAGTGAGAAGAGCTATTCCGACGTGAGTGTCTTCTCTGCACTGCAATGCAGGGATGGAGCTAAGGATGAGCAATGGGAACACTGTCAGGATTACAGCCAGGTCAGATTTTTCATTTTGCTAAAAGTCACTTCTTTGACACAGGAATCAGGAAAATACATTGATGCAACATGTTGAAAAGAATGAAAAGGTTGTTATTTGCTCCTACCAATATGATTCAAATAGAGAGACCCAAGCCTTATGGAAAAGGGAGAAAATGTCTTCCAACAAAAACACAAACTTTGACACTGAGTACAATATAATGGGAGGGCCCAAGAGGGGTTTTGGGGAGCTCCTCATGGAAAGGGAGCTTTCCATGGGCTTTTTTTCTCCTGTCTGTAGGGTGAGCACATGCATGTTTATGTAAAGAAGGATGCAAGCTTCCAAATTAAAAAAAAAGGGGTGGTGGTGGCTATTTTTCTTTCTCATGGATGAGGTTAGAAGGTTAATAAAAGAGTTAATCCCAGCCTGCTCTGCAAGAGGGAACAGCTCACATTCGTGAGACTTTAAAAGGCTTGGAGTGTCTGTGTATGGATGTTGTTATTTCCTGTCAGGGCTATCCCAAGAAGAGGGGGGGGCCAGGACCTGTTTTTTTGGAAGAGGAGTTTGTCCATTAACTAAATCAGCTGGAGTGGAAATAAAAAGGTTTGTATAAAATGGTTTTGAGAGTAAACTCCAATTCAGTAAAGCTCTGGGTTTTTGGGGGTTTTTTTGCCTGTGAGAACATAAAATTAAAACTTAGTTCAGAGCAGTGGAGGCCAACCAGAACATCTCAACCAAATGACCCAGAGAATCTGGTTGGCTTTTTTTAAATTAAAATCCATTAACATGAATTTAACTTTTAAATATGTGAATGGTTTGAAAGATAAAAAAAAATAGTCAACTTAGGAAACATTCAGCAAATTACAGCACCAGGCAGTGATTTACAAGGAGATCTGCATGTCCATTTGCTTTGCAGCATTGAGGGAATGCTTATTTCACAGCATAGAAAATTACCTCAGGCCTTGTTGGGCTTTTCTGGAGAAATATATACCACAGTCCGGGTTACTGATATCCCTCCATGCCTTGGTGTCCCCCTGCACAGCTGAGGGTCTGTACTGAGACACACTGTAAATGTTATAGTCGATATCCCTTGGTAGAGAAACTGCACTGCAATTTCTTTTTTCCTACTTTCCTTCCTTTTGCACAAGGCTCCTGCGCCACCAGCTAACCATTTCCTATAAGAAAATGGCATTGTGTTAAAGTTATATAGTGTATCATATTAAATTTTATGACAGTGCTTTGTGTTTTGAAAAGACTTTGGGGGGAAACAGCATCAATCAGGGAACCACATTTGATAGACTTGGAAGGGGCCTCCTGGGTCATTTTGTCCAAGACCTCTATGAAACAGGAAGGCTTCTGCAAAATACCTTTCCCATAAATGTATCTAACCTTTCCTTAAAGACACTGAGTGATTGTGCCATAAATACCTCAAGCAGCTAAACTAGTCTGATTGACCTTACGATCAGTAAGTGTCTCCTAATACTGTACAGAAGGTACAATTTTCCATTCTTTCAGCCGTGGCTAAGCAAGAAAAAAGGGCAAATACACAGTAATGGGCAACAATACAGACTGTGCAAACAGTTTTGCTTTCACTTTACTGCCATCACCTACCATAAATCTGGATGTACCATTGATACTTGGTTTCCCAGTGTAGTGTCTGTGATCCCTGTAGTATCTATCTCACTTTGACTCTGACTTTTGGAGAGCCACCATTACAGGGTGCAGAAATAAGGAAGACGTACGAGCAGCACTCTCCGATTCAGGAAACCATTCCAACCTGATGCCAGTAGTTAAAGTATTTATTTCTATCTTCTATTTATTAGAATTTGTGAGTTGTTTCTTGTCAGGACCATGGGAGCAAGGGGAAGCACAGGGCTTTCTATGGTTCCATCAGAGTGTCAAGGAATAATTTTCATTCTCCAATTCCAACAACTGTGCATATTGAAAAATAAATACACGGTAGTTTAGCTGTTTGTTGTGTGCAGCAGAGCCTTGTGTGCTGGTTCTGCCCCACACTGCTCTGCCTTCTTTCTCTCAGTGAATATTAGAAGTGTCATTTTGGGTAGATGTGTTATTAAATCACAGACACAGTCATTGCTGAGAGCTTCCTGAGCTGCACATAAACCATCTTTGGCTTGGGGTTTTTTGTCTTATTTTCTTTTCTGCAAGCATTGAAAGATGGTGAGAGAGCTGAAGGCCAGTTCTCAAACACCTATTTTCATCAAGTATACACTTACTTGTGGAGAGGGGTTGTCTGATGGTGTCCCTCTCACCTGACTGACCACTACCTGGGCACAGGAGAAATTTAGACACCCTTCAGTGTCCTCGTGCAGCTCCCAGGGAAAAGCATGTCTTTAAAAGCTGAATATGCCACCTTGGTGTCTGTGGGACATTGATACACAAAGGAACAACCATCTCAGAGTCATACAGGTTTTATTGTGGTCACCAGCCACTGCCTGAACACACAGAATCATTTCCAAAAGAGACACTGGGAGCTCCAGTAGAAGCTGGGACAAAGACTGTCTTATCTGATGCCCAGCAGAAAAAAAAAAAGGCTCATAAGAATATTTCACTCCTGACCAGCAGAAGTGTATTTCAGACTAACTGAGGAAGACTCCAGAGGAATTTCTTCTTCAGAAGATGAGAGAAAAAGGTTTTACAAGGTTGAGGCATCCTCAGCTTGGTTTCAATGTCCATTCACTGTTCTGGGTTAGATCAGGCTGCTTTTTTTATTTTATTTTTTGTTTGTTTGTTTGTTCCAGAGTTGTAGTTCTTGTACACAAAAGACTGCTGCAAAATGGACCAGGAAAACTGGAGTTTAGTCCTAAAAGCAAAAGATACAGAAAAGATAATTTAGAAAGAATATGGTGATCCTGCGTTTGAAGACATGTTGGTAGCTCTGTATGTCCCTGCCCACATTTTTTTGCAGTGCCCTCTTTGTCTCATGCTTTTGTGCAGGCTGGCACTCACTTTGTAGTTCTCAGCTCAGGGCTCATCATTTCCTGAAGGTCTTAAATCAGCCCTGAAAAACACAGATTTTTTTTTTTTAACGCTGTCTCTATACAAATAACTAAATGCCATCCTTTCTCTGATGTGTAAAGTTGTAAAATATTTGTTTAGTATTTAATCACATAGAAATATGTGAAATTACACTAGAAATACACCTCACCCTGGTGTTTAAGGGCAGAGGCTTGTGAGATTGTGACAAGTCAATCTGATATTATAAAATTGCAAAATATCTGTGCCGAGAAAAATACAAATACTAACAGACCTTCTTTTATTGCTTATATTCTCTTCACTTTTTCTCACTGAATCACCAGATTAGGCTTGCCTCATCACAATAGAGTTGAGCCAGCCCCAAGCCCAGCTCACCCCTCACTCCTCTTCTGTCTTAAATTCCAGCTCTAAAGAGCAGCTCTTCTCTGCTGGGGTGATCTGAACCCCACATCTGCTTAAATGGTATCCTGGGTACTCAACTCCATGACAAAAAATAAGATCCTCCTGCTTCAGTCCCTCATATTCCAGATCCTCCTGCTCTGCTTCAGTCCCTCATATTCCCCATTTTCCACTCAGTGCCCCTCCATTCCCTATATTGTAAATACTTGCTGTGGGGAAAGAAACATATTTAATTTTGTTATGTTAGAAGGGGGGAATGAAGGCAAACAGGGCTTTTTGTGTTGTTTTACTGTTGTTGTTATTATTATTGAGGGAGGGTTTGTTTGGTTTTTTTTCAGTACAGGCAAGTTCTGACCCATAACTGTGCTCTTAGGTACTCCTGAAAATAAAAAGTACGTTTGCATCAGGTGCACCTAAAAAACAAAAAGAAATTATATATCATAGAGGCTTTCTGATCCTGTTCAGTGCACAAATGCCAATCAGAAGCAAATATGGGGCTGTATCTTGCAATCCATTTTGATATTTACAACAGAACATGGCATATCATTTAATTTAAATTTGCAGCATGCTCAGTGTAATTAATGCTGTGCAGTGCCTAGAAAATCGTGATTTCTTAATGTGATACAATGCCTGCATGCTGAGAGCATTTTTTTTTTAAACTACTGTATCATTTTGGAGCATTAATGGGGAGGCACTGCCATTAAACAGGAAAAAGAGCCATGCTCACTTGCTCTTTATGAAACTTCCATGCAGCTCCCCAAAATATGATGCAAAGTACAGGTTTGTTTTAAAAGAGAGGGGAGAGTCAGAGATTTAATTTTCCCTTGACACAGCATGATGCCTGAATAGCCAGATAGCTATTCCTAAATTATGTGCATTTCATTCCTAGGAGCTGTGAGCATTTTGAATGGGCTGTTGTTAAATACAGTACACAAGCATAAATACTCCAGGGAACAGCAAGCTGAAATTTTGGCATGAGCAGAAATCTGATGTAGTATCTGAGCACGTAATAATAGTGCATATTGATTTGTCAGGAGTGCTAAAAGAGGGGGGGTTGGTATTCTGGGATGAGAACTGGTAAACTTGGGAACATCCTGTGTGATTAGAATAAGCTGTGGTATTTGTGTGCTGCAGTTCTGGCAAGGTTCACCTTTAGACCTGGAGAGTGGTTGGGGTCTCAGTTTTGGGACTGAACCCAAGAAGCTGAATGCATGATAAAGACATTTATATATTATCCATAAGTGATGCACAGGGAATTTGCATCTTCACCTAGAAAATTGGGCAATGAAAAGGTAATGCGTTTGGCAAGAAGGGTTGGGACCAAAAGCCCTTCAAGGTCAGGAGCTTAACTGCCTTGACTACAATGAGCTTGAGTTTACCTGCTTTGTGATTGAACTGTGCAAAAAGAAGAGGAAAGAAAAAAACCCAAACCAACACTCCTCCTATTAATTCGCAAGGAAACAGTTTCTGCCAGATGTGCTCTAAAAGCTCTCTTTATAGACCTGTTGATAGCAAAGCAAGTTCTTCAGGTCCTCTAAATAAATCTGCTCCTAAATATAATGCTTCAACTTCTATATTCTCATCTGACACCTGACAATTCAACCTTAAGAGTAATTGGTCCTGTCTTTGAACCTCTGCAAATGCTGCATGAGGAGAGTGGACAATTTATTGATTTAGATTGATTTTTATAAGAAGCATCTGAGACGGACGCGGTGTCCAGTGTCAGACGCTGTGTATATCACACTCCTCGGGCACATCCACGGGCAGCCAGGAGGGTTCAGGAGTATGTGGAGGTGCTCAGTGAGCACCTGCAAACCATGCTGTGTGGGACCTCTCTGAGTGATCACCTTGGAGAGAGACACCAGTTAATTGGCCAAGTTTGAATTTCAGAAGGGTGATGACACAGCTCTCCTGTTGGGAAGCCATCCCAAGCCATGCGGTATCTCCACAGGCAGGAACCAAAGGGTTATTCTAGTGCAGGTTGCCCAATATGTTGATCTTCTCATACTGTAGCTGTTGGGAATCATTGCTTGGATATTTCCACGCCTGTAACTGTATTTTCCAGTGCTGTGGTTATTTGAGAACATTACAGGACAGGGCAGTGGATTTGTCGGGAGTGAAAGGATTTGTGAACTGGTTGTTTAGTTTGTGACAAAAAAAAAATGTCATTGATATTAATAGCTCTGAGCCCCAGAAAAGACCTAAAAAACCCCAGGGAAACAGCAGAACAAAAGAAGACAGAAACAAGATGGCACGAGGGTCTCATCACCAGGGATGGTGATTAAGACGTGAGGGGAAGGGCTGCCCCGCTCGTCTGCGAGTTTGGCTGGGGAAATCACCCTCCTCCTGCTGCCTCGCCTCCCTCATCCATAATGAGGGAAGGACTAACTTTGCAGCACACTTTGCATTGGCACTGCATGCTAACTTCATTACTGTTTGCAAAAGCCTGTGCAATCCTCAGAGGAAAGGAATAATAACAAAGAAAAAAAAAATGATAATTACCAAGCGCATAGTTTTCATCTGTAATCTTCATTTCAGGATTCACTCTTCCCCATGTCAATATTTTATAATGGAAGAATGAGATATGCTAAGTTTCCGTTTGATGGAAGTAAATTCAGATTTAATATTGCCAAGGAGCTGAATTTTTAATACGGCAGAGCAGAATGCAGCCATTCCAGCCCCTGTTTGCGGCTCCTGCCGCTCCTTTGTACCGGCTCAGCGATGTTCCCATGACCAGGCGGAGAAATGGGAAGAAGCTGCTCGGAATTTCCAGTGGGGTGACAGTACTTTGTCATTTAGCTCTGTCACGATAATTGGGAGTGTCACACAATGAAGCAACATGACACACCCCTGGTAAATGAAGAGTTTTCAAAGTGATGTACAACCCCTGTCAACTGCCAAAGCTTTTGTTTGTTCATGGAGCGAGGCAGCATTTCCAGAAGGAAAACCTCACTGGAGAGGCACACTTGGAAAGTTTGCTGTAAATTGATTTCCTCTGTGTTTTTATAAAATGGGATAGATCCTATGAACAGTAGGAGAATACCTTCTTTTATCACACACTCCAACCTGCTGAGGACTTTCCACAAACTCTTTAGGAATTTACCTCTTTTTGTTAAATTGGGTTGGATCTCATTAATAAAAGAATGGTATAATGGAAAAGAGTTTCTAAAATTATACTGTAACCTAGAATTGCAGGATTCAGCTTTCTCTGCCTGAAGAAAAAAATTCTGAAGCATTAAACTTACTTTATCAAGCATTGCACCTGACATGCTCTCATAAATTTTACATATATTTTAACTTATTTTAATATTATGCAGGCTTGGTTTAAAATATTCCCATGAAGTAACTAAAATGAAGCTGCTCAGCCATAAATTAGAGCTAAAAAAATACTTGTTCCCCCCGCCCCATCAATATTTCTTTACTTAAAATCATGTGTTGTATGTAAGTTAAATTTTCCCTTGCTGAGATACTTTGTATATCTTAATAGGAACTACCACAGGCCCAGTGAGCTGTATTTCTGTATGGTTAAATGTACTTTCTTTGCTTTTTTTAGAGGTGTCTTGCCTAAAAGCAGATATCAGTAACCCTTTGCATGCCAAAGTGCAGCAGGGCCCACAGCTAAACATGTGGTCACATATATTTATACACACATACATATTTATTTATATATTTTTAAACATCTATTTTTATGCTTATACATGCACACATATATGTATATTTATAAAAGGCATATATAAAATATATAAAATTATTATTTATAACTATATTTTCTACATTTATAGATAGGTATTTATATCTATACATATACACACATATATAGATATGTATATGTATATATATAGATAGATAGATATACATATCTATATATGTATATATACACACATGTATATCATAGAATCATAGAATGGCCTGGGTTGGAAGGGACCTTAAAGCCCATCCAGTTCCACCCCCTGCCATGGGCAGGGACACCTTCCATTATCCCAGGCTGTTGAAAGCCCTGTCCAACCTGGCCTTGGACACTTCCAGGGATGGGGCAGCCACAGCTTCTCTGGGCAAGCTGTGCCAGTTCCTTACTACCTTCACAGTAAAGATTTTTTTCCTCATATCTAATCTAATCCTACTCTCTCTCTGAAGCCATTCCCCCTTGTCCTGTCCCTCCAGGTCCTTGCAAATAGTCTCTCTCCATGTCTCTCGTGGGCTCCCTTCAGTTACTGGGAGGCCACAGTTAGGTCACCCTAAAGCCTTCTCTTTTCCAGGCTGAACAATCCGAGTTGTCTCAGCCTGTCCTTGTAGGAGAGGTGCTCCACCCCTCTTGTCATCATGGTGGCCTTCTCATGTATATTATCTAAAAACATATACATATTTTTCCAGGAGCAGCCCTGCTGGTCGGATGGGCAGATGATGGCACCAACAGAGGCTTCCATGTGT